TCTTAAATAGTAAAAAAACAAATAATCTGTAAATTTATTTTTCTTCAGTGTTTATTCAAGAGAAACACAACTATATATCTGATTTTCTTAAACTGATTTTTTTAATGAATACTTCTTCATACTAACAAACTCATTATTCATATTTAGAATGCAAAGAACAGTTCTGTAAAATGACTATCATCACGGAATCGTTCTAAAAACGCTCGAGATTTTTCTTGGATGGTGGTATTTTTCAATTTATATATATTCTTAAATGTCTTGAGATCATCTGTGCTTTCTATGACACTTACTGTACTCGTTATATAACAATAAAAACAAAGTCATTTACTCTTAATCTATTGGCACAATCAAATATTTAACATTGAAAATTGATATTCTTTCAGAAAAATGAAACTTTCAAAAGATCATCATCGATTTTTGATGTTGTGACAACTAATCATGATCATGATTGATACAACACATGAGGTTTTTCATTCAACAAATTCAAATTTCTTTTTAATCATAAATAACCAAAAAATGCACAACAATAGATAAAAGACATGCAAGGCGGAATTAACAAATTGATATATATAGAATTATATATAAGCAGTAGATTAAATCAAACAAAAATATCACGTGAATCAAGTAAGCATATTTTCGATAATGATCCATTTATATTAAGATAATCAGAAAACTACATTGAATAAATATTTGTCTCACCAATAAAAGTTTTCTAACTGATCAATCACTTATTAGTCGGGACAATTCGCACCATGTAAACCCTAATGAGTTCTGATATACACGGAAAATAGTTCACATCATTAGCTTATTGCTGCAAAGATACTGTGTCTTAACACTATTTTTAAATTTAATGTCATGGTCTTAACCAAGAACACTTGACAAAACTGATTTTTTTGAATTTCTACTTGAAACTTTGCAGAGAGACAAGTCTTCACGACTAAATTTTATTGTGAAAGTTTTCAGATCATTTGATTTATCCACTATTCTGAAATAAGAACATCAAATCTATAAGTCTATATGAGCGATGTAAAAGATATGCTTTTACCATAATCGCATTTCAGGATAAAAATAATTACAAGATTTCAAGTTTTTATCAATGAACTCTTCTCAATAAGATCTATCACTGTGTAAAACTTCAAGTTGAAATACAAAAGTCATTTTTTCTACTTTTCCTACAGAGAAACACAACATTGATTTTAATAATGCTGTCAAAATACAGTATTTCTGTACCAATAAGCTAAAGGCATGAACAGGTTTTTTTAGAATATTCATAGTTCATATGGATCTGAATAATACACATAGTCCTAATGTAAAAGCAATTAATCAGTTAGACTACTTCTCTCATTAGTCTCTCATTGAATGTTCATCATTTTCTGCTCTTTTTCTGCTGATTTCTAACCATGATTCGAGTACTTTCTTGTTTCTTGGTTCAAAGCGACATTTAAATGGTTTCGGCTCTGCAACAAGAGCTGTAGGAGTTTGGTTGGCTTCTATTGCATCTAATATGGCAGCATCTTTTGGATCATTAGGTTCAAGAATTCGAAATGCTGAAATAAATCGAATAAAGAATGCAAAAAGTTCTCGATTGGCCAGATGAGATCCCAAACACATTCTACTTCCAGCTCCATAAGCAAAATGTGGTGTACTATCAACATCACCTAAATATCGTTCAGGATTGAAAGTATATGGATCTATAAAATGATTTTCATCATAATCACCAGCAAATGCATTCAGAAAAAATAATGTTCCAGCAGGAATGATTACTCCATTATAATCAATATCACTGATACTTTGTCGTGGAAGACTCAATGGATTAATTGTGAAATAACGAAGAATTTCTTTGTAAAGAGCAGTAACATATGGAACTCGTTCTTCGACTAGACATTTTTCCCATGCATCACCATCAGGATAAACATCTTGAATTTCTTGATATGCACGTTCTTGAATTTGTTGTCCATGTGCTGATGAGAGATAACTTATACCATAAATGATATTGGCAGGAATTGTGTCAAGAGTAGCACTCAGTAATGACATACCGATACTTTTAATTTCATTTTCATTCAATTTTGCTGTAGTATCTCTCAGAATATTACCGATAATACATGGCTTTTCCGTATCATTGGCAATATCTTTCTTTAAACTATCTAGAAGAATTTGGAGATAATGATCACGACGAAGTCGATAAGAATTAGCTTCACTAGATTTAGCAGGAAAAAGTCGAAGAAGTGGAATATAATCTTGCCAATTATCTGATATAGATCGAAATCGTTGCATTGCTGCTTGAATTTCTACAATTTCTTCCAAACGTTTATCAAATGATGAAGAAAAACGTGTGCCGTAAGTAAACATAAGAGTTGTATTAAGAGCAAATCGTTTAAGGTGAGGAATGATATTAATATCTATTCTTCCATCTTCACATTCTTTCAAAATTTCATTGATTACCGTATATGATTCAATATCGACAATTGGCATGTACGATTGCACAGCAGGCTTATTCAATGCTGTTGCAGTTGCTTTACGACGTCGTTTACATGATTCATCCCAGGGAGATGTTCCAATTGTAAATATTTGACTACTACTACTAACAACAGTATGAAATGTATATAACATAGGTCGACTAATCAATGAAAATTGATTTTTGATCCATAATTCTTTAATAGAATCGTATGAATTTGCAACAACAATACGTTTATTTCCTAGACGAATTTGAAAAACAGGACCAAGTCTTTTAGCCAGTTTTAATAAAGCAAAATAATGATTTTCTTTTAATTGAAATAAACTTCCAAAAATAGGCCAACCTGGAGCTTCTGGAAGACCATTAATTTTTGGAGCATCTGTGGAATTGAGAATTTTGAAAAGAATCCATATGATAATGATAACACCAATCCAAACAATGAACGTCATCTTATCCGACTGATACAACGAAAATATGATTTGTTTACAACACTATTTTTTATCTGTAAGCTTATAATGAAGATAAAACATTTTCTTTTTTTTTTCTTTTCGTCAACGTATCATATTACTTTCTTCTCGATCGATGCACTATAACAAAGCTCGCAATCTTTTCTTTTCTAGGTCACTTTTTTTATTCAATACTAAGCTCGATTGTATGTGCATTTCTTTTTACTCTGTTATCTAAATAATGCATGTATAACAAATGGCATGTGTTCTTTTTTCTTTTGTTTTTCAACAGTACTGTATCATGTTTTAGCAATATATGTCTTGTAAAAATCGAAAATTTGATTGTTGTATTTAGAATGTATTTTTATCATCTTTTGCTGTGTTTATCGATAGATTACAGCGAAGCAGTTTTTTTAGTTTTGTATATAGTTTAACTGTAAGCATATCATTAAACAATTGTTGTTTTTAGTGAAAAGGATTATTTTTCTATGAAAATCTGATTGTATAGGTTTCAAATGTTATTTCACTTGTATAATTTGATCAATTATTGAATTGAAATATATTGAAGTTGTACGCGAAGAATTGCATTTGTAAAAGAAAATGGCTGATATTGTTCGAAAAATCTATAAAGATGTAACTGAGATGAAAAAAAAAGAAGAAATCAATCAAAATTAATTTTATGAATAAAGATAGATTAGCGATGATTGCATATAGTTGAAGTAATAACAATGTTGACAAGTATGAAAGTGTGTATTGAATAGATACTTGAATTATCATATGATATTTTTCAACATTACTGAATATTCCTAAGTGAATTTATATATTTATATATTTTTTGCATATGTAAGAAAATTAAACAATGATTTAGACTAAAAAATAAATCAAAATGATTGTTTAATATATGTATGTCTACATTAATATTACATCATCAAACAGAATTCTTCTCATAATTGATATTTTCATGATTCATAGTGTTAGTCTAAACTATCGAGATATTGTATTTCGAATTCATTTAATATTGTCTTTGTATTTGGATGTAGATTTTAATTAATGATCTAATGAAATGTTCCTACGTATTCTATTTGAAAATCGAAGACATCATCATTTATCATAATTTTCATCAAGTTAGTCGAAATATTCATTGCTCGGGATGCTATGAAAATATATCTATGATAAATTACTTCAACTGAATTTTATTAAGGTCAGATTGTGATAACAACATGAAAATGCAAAAAAGAATAAAGATTGTTTTGAATTTGTTGTAAAAGAAAAAAGAATATGAGCCATTGTCTGTTCAAACTATAAAAATTTGTTTCATATGTGATCTGATAAAGAATTAAATTATTTAATTAAAAAAAATGATTTTTTTATGGTAAAAAGCTTGTTTTTTTGAAAAAACCGAACTCAAAATTTTGAGAAACTGATTAGAGATTTGGATTCCTCGATTCCGATTACCTTTGGTCAAACTATGAAAATTCGTAATTTTTTGGGAAATTGCCTTTCGCTCGATGAACTCAGAAAGTTTCCGTTAAAAGTAAAGAGAACACGTATTGCGTTCCCGTTCCAAGAAACGGAGAACACAAAACAGTCTAACATAAAAAGACAAGAGAATATGTTTACAACTCTCGCCATATTGAAACAAAGCTAGAAAAATAAATTTTGAGATGCCTTTCCGTTTCTAGGAACAGGACGCTGACACTCCTAAAATCAAGGACAAAAGAATGAACAGGTGCAAAAGAGAAAGGAGAAAACGTATCCTTAAATTAGCCTTATACTATCGAGCTAAACAGAATTTAATATCATGTATATCCATTTATAGAAGATTCGTTCACTATTTATTAATTTACCATACTAATACCTGTAAATATCATCGATCTATTGTTCATATTATCGAATTGAGTTTTGAACAGATGACTGATGATGAAAAACCAATCATAACGATTCTTGAATATCTCATTCAAATTGTGATGAAAAAAATCCAATGATTTAGTTTATATCGATGAAGATTTTCAGAAAATTATCGTTCAATATCGACGAAATTATAAACATTTACCTATAATTTATTACAAAATGTTACTTTTACATTTTGTGTGCAAACTATGATGCCCACTTTCCTTGAGACAGCACTTAATTATCATCTCATCAATAATCCATCAGCAGCTATTAATATTTATCAACGTCTTATCGAAATTATCTTAAAATATTTCGATGATCGAAAATACATTGTCTCAGTATTTACACAAATAGCTCTTGAATCCAAAAATACAAATAATCAAATTGAAATGATCATTAATATTTATGATGGATTGTGTACATTTATTTATGAATGGCTAGCAAAAATTATATTTAAAGATGATGATTTGATTACTCTTATTATTGAATATTTACGAATGCTTGGAGATCGGTTTTATGAATCTATTATTCCGATTTATAGAAAAATAATTCAAATTCTACGTTACTATTGTGAAAAAGTCAATCTTAATTTCGATAAAGAACATTATTTAAAACTCATTAAATATTACTATAAAAAATGGCTATAATCGATACAATATCTGGAGTTGATAGTTATACAAATCTACTTGAAATATATCTTAATTATGACCCAACAAATTTTGAAAATATTCAATCTGAAATTATCTCTTTGGTCGAAGATAGGCATGTGAAAATGCTTGAAATTTTGATAAAAGTTCATATTAATTATGTACCATTAATACGAAGTATATGCTGACGTCTTACTTCTTTTGAAAAAAGAAATGGATCAATACCAAGATGTCAATCTAAATACATTAACTCAATAATAATTGATTATAAAGGACAAGCTATGAATTATTTATTAGCAGGAAATCAAGAAGCTAGTAACAGATGTTGACAAGAATGTGCATACCATCTTCTGGACTTACAATCAAAGTATGATTAACGCATTGCTACTTATTATCTTCGAATTGATGGTCCGATACAAGCCATCCGCGTTTTTGATCCTATCATCTATATTGAATTTACATCTTTATATTGCCTGCAAGCTTATCAGCGATATCTCAAGTTCATTGATTCATCAGTTTTATTTAATAAATAAGTAAATTTCGAACACTATCATACAATAAATTTATATCAGGAATCAAGTAGAAATCTACATTCCTATCTATCCGATGAGTAGACTTCACATAAAATTTTGATGTTGTGGATAGGATGTGATTATTGAGTATCTTCAAGTAATTCTTTTATACTGAAACGAAAACAACTTTTTACTTAATTAAAGTTGATTTTGTCTTTCACGAACATAATCCTATTGATTCTCTCATTCAACCGAATGACTGTTTGAGATTTCTTTATCGTAACAATTTTTCCTAAGAAGAACGCTTATCATCTCGAGATCATACAGACATTTTATCAAAGCTTATTACTTTATTGTAATACAGAGTATGAGTGAAGAGAAGACTTGCACCTATATCTGTAAATCCATATTTGTAGCCATGAATAATATTTATTCTTATGTTATCGATTAGACATTGAATATAAAATAATTAATGACAACAAATTTATGAAAGAAACTTTCCCATGGTAGTACTTTCTCTAGTTTTTAGTGACTAATGAATAAGAAATGGTAGAAAATTATATTTATATATAAAAATATTTTAGCTTCAACACAACCAAAAAGAAATTTCGGATCAGTAATAATACTTTTATGTTGATGAGATATACTTTGCTAACATTCAATCATTTTTCAAAATCTCATAAGATATTAATCAACTTGAAAAAAAGGAGTATGTACATTCTTTATTTAAAATAAGGATAAATTAATATACTATATAAAACTGTATTGTTTACTATAATATGGATAACACTATCTTTAAGCGACACTCACTTACGATCAAAAACCATTGATCTATCATTGATATGAATTCTTTGAATAAAATTTATGCTGATTTCCCACAATCTTTAAGAGTTTGATGTGACAACCAAATTTCAATTTCTGTCAAATTTTCATGATATAGATATAAGAACCATACATAATTCATTAAGATCTTCATGGATTATTCGATTATTGAACGAACATCTTCAGGTACATTTGAATAATTATGAGTTCTTGACAAGGACTTTATTTTAGAATATTTATCAGTGTTTTTAATTTCGATTAATGTTTAAAAATATTTCTGACATAGAGACTATCATATTTCATTGACCTGCACAAAGTCAAACGTCTTCAAAAGATACATTAGTAAGTTTTCCTAGTTACCAATATTCCTTTGATTATTGGTTCAATAACTTGAATTTGAAAAGAATCTCCTTCTTGTTTGATCATATCATTGTACAGTAAATTCCTTTGTTCTATGTCAAGATCATAGAAACATTAAAAGTATCTCCGTAGACTCATAAAATGGTTCGTTATGGAATACGTTGAAGTATCATATAATTTTGATAATAATTGGCAAATCAAAATGTGCCATCGACTAGAATAACCAGTTAAAATCAAACGATAATCATATAGAAAACATCTATTTATTGTATTTGCAACTCAGTATAGAGCCAAAAGAAAAATATAAACTTATACCGACACAACACGATATTTTTTGCAATCGTATATATTTCATAGATGATGAATAATAGTTCAGTACAGATAGATTCATAGCAAAAACTGAAAGATAATATAAATTATTAAAATGCTATAACTAAAACTTTCTATTTAATGAATTGAAGTTTATTGAAATTATTGCTAGATGTAAGTTTTATGTGACATTGATTAAAACGATATACAATAATGTGACTGAAGAAGAATATAATTGAGGACAAAAAATCAAAATAATCAAACAAATAAATATGAGTAAAAATATTTTTAATGAATTAATTTTTACTTGGAACAGCTGAATAGAGCATATACTCCTGCAATAAATTAAGATAAACAACCAGAAAATATTCATTTAAAATAAAAAAAAAAAAAACTTACAACGAGAAAGAGAGCAGCAAGTAACATTGCCTTCATTTTAACATCAAGATCCATTGGAACTACAAAAGATAAATATTCGAAGAGATGTTTTTAATTCTTATCAATAAGTTTACATTTAAGTAAATATACATCAGCACTTGTTGTTGCTTCTTCAATAAAACCACGATATTTTTTATAAATAGCTCCAATTTCTGTACTTCCATCTGTACCAATTAACTTTCAATAAAAAAAAAAGACAGTTGATTAAAATTAAATCAGAAAACAAAAGAAATTAAGAAAATTCGAATTTAAATTTTGAAAATATTACTTACTGTAAATTTAGTTTCACAACAACAGCTCAGTGGTCCATCGCAACGCACTAGAGGACCACGTACAGTAAGAATATGATTATCATCGTCATCTTTGATTGCAAAAATAGATCGACAACAACTTCCTCTAAATAATACATATTTCATGAAATCAATCTCACTCATTTTTGTAAAAAAAAAAACCTAGTCTTACTCTTGCGATACAGTACCAATTAAAGTTTCAGGCGGTGATTCGACTGTCACTTCTTGACTACAACATTGTGAACAAGCACACCAACAACAGCCTGAACAACATTTGAATGAACGTTTAATAAGAATAATATCCTAATTATTTCCAAGAAAATTTTCTTATGAAAATTATTTCAATGATTCTTATTAACTTGATTATTATTATCCATAATACGCAATTTAAAACGTCGTCTAGTTGTACAACAGCAACGTTGCCAAAATGTTGAAGCTTTTCAAATAGCAAAAAAACGAAAAGATATTTTAAAAATCAATATTAAAATTCTATTTATTTACTTTCTAAAGCTTGTAATATCCGTATATTTTTATCATTAAAAATATCAAATTTAGCTTCAGATGCAATACCAAATACAACTTGAATAATAACATGACAAAAAAAAAAGAAACTTCAAATTAACTGAATTGTTTGAACTGATTTACCTTCATTCAATGAAGGAAGTTGTTTAACATACAATGAATCAATCACTCTTAAGAAATCTAATCCAGTTGTAGCATTAAATATTGAAGGTAATAATGGTGTTATTTGATCGATATTTGATAGATTGATCTTCTCTTCAGATTCTTTTACATTCATTTCTTTGAACTATTGATACTATTAATGAAATTATTTCGAATCAATCAAATATTTAATCTAAAATATCCTATAATAAAACTCAAATATACCTTGATTTTTGTTTTGTAACTTGTTCCGTATTCTATCGTTTTCTTTCTTCTCTGATAAGATGCAAATACTTTAAAAAAAAAAGAAAATACATTTCTTGTTGCCTATAGTAAGAGCAATGTATAATTTCTTTTCTCATTCAATCAATATAAAGTATATCCAAACAAAATATGTTATATATATATTGAATTTTTATTATAATTCAGTTGATATGTTTGTTTACAAATCACACGAACGTCATTCAACCATAGAAAAGTAAGAAATTATGAAAGATTAAATTACAACTAACTCCTAGTAAGTGAGATAAAGGAGGAAAAAAAAAAGATGACTTAGTTGATTTCTGCTTTACGACGAGGAGCTCATAGGATATAATATATATCAAGGCTGCTCCACCCTCAAAAAAGTCACTTTTCGCCAGAATGATCGAAATTAAAATAAATACAGAGAAAGATAGACTGTGATCTGATCTCTCATTAACAACAAGAAATTTTATTCGGTGCTTCATTTTTTCCAAAAACTTTTGAAGATTTTCATCACCATCTACTTGAAAAATAAGCTGGGGTCGGAAAAACCGAAAATCTTTTTCGTTTTTTCTCACTTTATAAGTTTTCGATCGCGCATCCCAGAATTCTCGAAGGAACTTCATTGTAGCCAATAGCTTTTTTTTGTTTGAAAGAGCATGTTAAGACGCAGTGCAGTACAGAGTTCTCTTTTTTTTTAATTAAGCTTCGTTTTTTATTATATATATATATACACACTTATATAATTAGAGCGCCATTTTTCGAGAGTTTTTTGAGTCATTAAACTTGTTATGCCTTTCCTCCGCTTAAAAAGTAAGAATTTTAAAAAAACCGGACTCTGTACTGCATTTCATCCTAACATGTTATTTCAAACAAAAACAAAATTAAATATATAGAATGAGCCTGAACGGAGAAATTTGGTTTGCCAAATGAGTTATTTTTGACTCTTGTTTATTGAATATTTCCAAAAACCATCATGATATAGGGCTGAAAATTTTACCATAGTCTCTTCACACTAGCCTCAATATCTTCTGAAAATGTCATGTAAATTGAACGTTTCCAGTCCAAGATTGATTTTTGAGGGCAGAGGTCTTAATTATTTTATTCTGATTTATTCTCTAGTTTATGAAGAACATACAACGGTAATCAAAAACAAAATAGTAAATGCTGAAGAAAAGAATGCTTGCCTGTGCCAAAAGAACTAGGAGAAGGATGAATGCACAAATCTTAGGTTTGAGGACAGAAGATTCTAAACTAGGCAGAAGAAGAACGACTAAGAACCATTATTATAACAGTGGAAGAATGTATTGAATAAAAAACAAAGAAAGAAATTTTTTTTCTGTTTGTTCCTCAACAATGTCAA